TTACTACTCAGTATTTCCCAGTTTGTATTATGATTCTATATTTTATATTTCCTTATTATTGTTGGCCTCACAAATGTTTAAAAATACCTCCAGGCCTTGGTTAAAGGGCTATACGAGGACAAGGTCTGATTACCTTAAATAACCTTAAATAACAAAGAAATGTGACTATTTGGACAAGCCAGACCACTGCTCTCCTTTTTTTTGCATGGGGGGTGGGTTGTCGATTCTTTACACACAAGTCCAGTATATAACACACAGCTAGACTGGAAATATTTGTTTCGACCTAGAGCATGTGTTAAGCATGTGTCTAATCTGATCATCGGCCACGCCATGTAATCGAGGGACTCATGGCGGAAACAGCATCTTTAGGTAAGTATTCCTGTTATATTTTCTTTATCTCTACCTGTACCTGTCATTACTTGTAACAAATGTTACACTAACAAGTATTTGTGTGATTTTTCTGTGCATCTTTGCACATATCAAATACAACCCAAAAACCCTACACAAACCTACACTTTAATGAGAAAAATAATGGACAAAACTTTTAGATTCTTACCCCTGCATCCTTTTCACTTATTACATTTGTGGTTGACTATAGGTTCAATTCAGAAAGCTACATGGCCAAAACTTTTTGGCCATACTTCTCCTGTGGGTCACAGGAGTGCACTTACTTTTGCTTTCCTGTGACCCAAAATCAGCTGACAGTGGGCTATAGCTGTTGCCAGGTGACATGGCAGAGACACTCTAGGCTGTGGCTGAATCCCGACCACATTTTCGGGATTCACCCAGCTGCCAGATTGACAGCTCGCTCCAGCTCGCCAGATGAGGCCGCCCTCTCTCCAGCCCAGCACTCCAGTGAGCACTAGAGGGGCAAAGTGGAGAGCAGTCACTGAAAATCACTTTTCTGCACCCCTAGCAGCTCGAGAACTGAACAATCAGTGTTCATGTGATCACTCACTACTCGGTCTTAAAGCTGACACGGGACAGCTGCAGCATCACAGCGCTGCTACAGCATAGAGGTAAGTATGAAGGTTTCATTTTGTTAGAAACACCAAGCTTCTTCTCCTTTAACAGAAAAATAAGAATGTGTATTCTCAGTACTGTAACTAATTTTCAAACCTCATTGCACTCTGCTGAACGTAACTGTCACTTTTTTGAAAATAAGGATCCTTATCCTGTGTGTGTTAACTTACCGATTTGAACTTAAAGTGTTCTTCCCAGCAAAATCTTATTTTTAGTTTTGTATCTAGTAGGGAAGAATTATACCCTCTGTTGATTCACCCATCTAACAGAAAATCCAAGCTTTTGGATTTGGAGGAAATCTTTAAATAGGAACATCTGTTGAAAGGACAACTATTTATTTTTTTTACTTATTTCAGGTACTTATATAGCCCTGTCAATTTACACAGCGCTTTACATATATATTGTACATTCCATCATTCCTTAATCCTCAAGGGGTGTACAATCTAATGTCCCTAACTTACATTCATACATACTAGGGTGGGAGGAAAAACCGGAGTACTTGGAGGAAACCCACGCAGGCACAGGGAGAACATGCAAACACCAGGCAGGTGGTGCCATGGTTGGCATTCGACCCAACAACCCTAGTACTGCCAGGCAGAAGTGCTAATCATTCAGACACTGTGCTGCACTGTGTAAAGATGTCAATAGTTTGGTCATTTTTTTCTATACAACCAGCAGGTTGAAAAAAAAAAAACTGACCTGATTACCCCATCCACACATTTGAGATAGATGGGGGAATCCTTTTACTGTGTCATTTTATTACATTATACATATACATATACATTAATCAGTGCTGCAGGTTATAGTCTGCAGGGCTGATTGAGAGGAAACTTTCCACTAGGGCAGTCATACAGAAGTTGATGTGTAGATCAACTTCTGTACAACCACAGTGCTATACATGGATCACAATTTGTCTGATTCCTGCTAAACTGGTAGAATTGTGATCCCTCTGTGGGCAGCTTAAGAAGGAGATTCCCCTGACTGTGGGAGATTTGCTTTAACTTCCTAGTGCACCCTGGGACAGGAAGAGATGGGACATTTCTCCAATAGTACACAGACAGCAAAAAAAAAAAAAAAAAAAAAAACTGTTGGGGTTCCCTTCCCTATTCTAGCCAAACTAAAAAGATGTTGGCTATAGATACAATTTATTTGTTTTTGCATCTCTGAAAGCTTTACAATCTGGACTATTGGATCCTACAGTTTGTATTTGGTCTTTGCTCAGCAGACCAGACACAATCTATCATTTCCAACTCTTGTGCCAAGTAGGGATAATCATAGGTCTGGTCCAAATTTAGGGTCAGACCAAACCTGAAAGCAAGTTGTCACTCGCTGCAAATCAGCACCCAATCCACCTCGGCTAGGGCAATTCTGGCCCCACAGCCACACAGAACAAAGGGGTGGGATTCTCTTGACATCATTGACCTAATATGGCCACATGGTTAAGTATGGCCATGTAGTCATAATAACTCAATGATGTCCCTTTATTATGTGCAATGTCAGGGTGAGGAATTCCCCAGCTCCAACTGGTTGTGGCAGAAGTGACAGCTTGCTTTCAAAGCTAAGTTCACATCTAGTGTTGAGTTGAGCAAATTGCTGGATAGGGGATGGCCACCCATCATTGGAAGATTCTGATCTCTGTATAACAACACAGTCTTTACTGGCTTATTCTTCACTGGCTGGTTTTCTTTTACAATTTAAACTATACCCATTGTATAGTGAACCTAACCTGGCATAAAAGGGCCTAAAGTATCAGCAGCATTCGAGCGCTGGCAAATTGTAGTACCTGTGCAGTCTAGAGCCCCTTGGTATACCAGCACCCCCTCCTCCATCGAGCTGTCAAATGTCAGAGGCAAAGTTTGTATTGTACATCATATATCTATGGCCAGCACTTGCAAGGAGGGGGCCTAAAAATATACAGGCTCCAATAGATCAGTTTGAAAGCTTTATCAGAATTGTAATCTTAGCAACCTTTTAGGTCAGGTCAAGGTTCCAATAAATGAATACCCTGAACCATCTGCCTGCAGGATAGCTCTAGTTAAAGTGGTATTAAACACAAAACCAAAAATGTATTAAATTTCAGCTTACTATTCATTATATGTAGTGGCTGTGTTGGTTTTCTTTTCTTTTGCGTTTTTTTCTCTGTTTTCAACTGATGATCTAACCAGTAACACACCTCCGTTATTAATGAGACACAACACTGGAGGAAAGAGATAGGAGGCACAGAAGACAGCACCATTATCACTATGGGGGAGGGGGAGTATTAGATATGTTAGCAGATTTTAAAAAACAGTAATTAATTGAAGCCAAACTCCAGCTCATACTTTATGATCAGTTACAGCAAACACTTTTTTTTTTCCTTTTGGGATAAAAGTTTTACATGAAGAGATAATTAAACACATCCCTGCCAGTGTTAAGTGGTTTTTCTCATCCCTGTAATCTGATACATTCTGCTGGAGAGTTGGAGAGTTTGTGCTTTTGAAAAACAACAGACTTCTATGAAAATAGAAGAAAAAAATCCTAAAAAAAGGGAAACTAATACAGCCATCACATCTAAGAACTGGTAAGATGCAGTATAATAAATGTTTGATTTTGGGATTATTACTGCTTTAAGCTAGCAATAGATATGAAATGATTGTTGCCCGATTTGCCAAATTGTGTAGCCAGATGGTGTAAATCAAGCACAGGTTGAAATCTTTTCTCCTTTTTGCAGGATGCACTTTTAAATTTTTTTTTTTAATCAATCACTTACCGTAATTGTCAGTACTACGGTTCCAGAAATAGAAGAACTGTACTGATCAGCAAAAAATTGTCTTAATAAATTGCTAAGGGTTAATATTATAGCTAAAAAGGCATATTTCACTCCTCAGTGCCTATGTTATCACCGTTTACACAGTGCTTCATGCCCTTCAGTCAAGAAAAAGAGGATTCCTTACAGATTAACACAGTATAATAATAATTGTAAATATACATTTCTCTTGTAGTGCGCTGTGGATTCTAAACCAAAAGCAGTTATCAACTTACTATAATGAAATTTCAAAAAGACATTCACTCGTTATTGATAAAAATAAAACCATAAGGTTACAGGACTTTGTTTTAGAAAATACCCACATAATGCACTGATGTTATTAGCAGAAGTTTCCATGATGTCAGACAGCTGCATGTTACTTTAGGTTTTTGTTTTCAAGGATTTTAGGCTTAAAACTACCCAAAGTGTTTGAACAGCTGACCATTATGAATTTTTAAACTGTATATATGTAGTACTCTCCTAGATAGGTGCTAGGATTAGTTAGATTTAGTGCTGCCTCACTGTGTTCAGTGGAACTGAATTGTTATTGTGTTAGGTAAGTTTAGTTGTTCTCATTATAATCAGTGAAGCTGCATGTGATTAGTTAGGTTTGCTCAGTGTTTCAGCTGATGGTGTGCCTGCTTCCTCTGCTTTCTAGAGAACAGTAGAATCCTCTGGAACAGTTGGACCAATGCAAATAGCAGTATGAATATTTATACAGCCCTGGCCAATTCCAGGGAGGGTGAGCCTGTAGGCAGCTGGGAGTCTGTATAAATACTGGGAGGTACAGAGTTTTGGGGGTCTTTTGCCTGCAGAGTTCCAGCCTGGAATGCTTGTTGCCCTCTGGGCAGCATTGCCATGTGCTTGCTGCTTGTGAGGCCTCAGGTGGGCGACCTGAGGGCCTGGATGCTTAAGCTACAGAGAGTGACTGAGGGGCTGTCTGCTTAACTAATTGCCGACTGCAGATAGCCGAATGACGGCTGCACTGCGGCCGGCCAGTTCTGGGTGGACGTCATATGACGTCCTCCCAGAACGTGCTCTCCTGCACGCCGCCCGGGGCGCGCACCCGGCGATCTCCGTGATCGCTGTGTACTATGGACACAGCTGATCACGTGACGTGGTAATAGGCCAATCACAGCGGCCTTTTACCACGTGATCAGCCGTGTCCAATGACACGCTGATCACCAGGAAAATGCAAATGCCGGTTCTCGGCTGCACTTTCCTCACGCTGTCAGATCGTGAGGAAAGTACTGCCGAAAACTGGCAGTTGTCAGAGCGGGGATCGGCACCGATCATCAGGGTCACTGATCACCAGTGCCCTGATGATCGGTGCCCAGCAGTGCCACACACAAGTTCCGCCCACCTGTGCCCAGCAGTGCGCCCACCTGTGCCCAGCAATGCACCCACCTGTGCCCAGCAGTGCGCCCACCTGTGCCACCCAGCAGTGTCACCACCTGTGCCCAGAAGTGCCACCTACCTGTGCCAAGTAGTGCCACCCACCTGTGCCCACCCACCTGTGCCCACCAGTGCCACCCACCAGTGCCCATCAGTGCAGCCCAGCAGTGCTGCCAGTCAGTGCCACCAGTCAGTGCCCAGCGGTTGTGCCAGTCAGTGCCCAGCAGTGCCGCCAGTCAGTGCCCAGCAGTGATGTCAGTCAGTGCCACCTATCAGTGCTGTCTATCAGTACCCATTACACTGTTCAACAAATTTTTATTTTTTGCCAGTTTTGGAAACAAAAGGATCCATTTCTTAATGAATTTCACATTCTGAGTTCAAATATAACAATGAAATTTGTCAATTGGCTCTAGTTTTTCTGTAAACGGAAAGTTTTCTACTATAGGCGTAATGACTACATAATGCACAATAATTATATAGATAGATGTCTTTCCACAAATATAAAGCAAGTGATATTGACTACATAACAAAGCCTAAATGGCATAATATATTGCATAGGATTACCAAGAAAAATTATAGCCATAAGCTAAGTTGAATCATTTTAATACTTAGGATTCTCACTAGTTTTGTCTTCAGTTTGTGTCGGTTTTGCTTCTCTTGGCTTTTCTCTTGTATTCGAGGAAAGGGCTATCTCTTACAACTGCACATGACTACACGCTTCAGGTTCTTCCTCACTTGACTCAACCACGAAGGATTCTGGTGCTTTAGGAATTGGTAGCCCCTCTCCATGAGGAACTGGACGTATTGCGATGGAATATTTGGATAGTGCACAGATAACTTTTTCTTCTTATTTAGCCCTTTTACAATTGGAGGCACCATACAAAAGTAACAATTACTAACATGATCTGTTGGCTCTCTCCAAATCATTGGCACAGCGAAAGGCATAGATGCCTTTTTTCCATTCAACCATTGCTCCAGTGCCGTCCCACAAGAATTGCAGCATATATGTGGTGCCCAGCTCTTGTCCTGGTCTCCTATCTTGCAGCCAAAATACAAGTTGTAGGCTTTCTTAATCATTCCTGTTATCCTCCTTTTTTGTGAGATAAAAGTTATTTCACCGCAGATATAGCAGAAATTATCTGCTTTATTCACACAAGTTCGAGGCATTACTGAGTAGCCTATATAAGCATAAAACGAAATGTAAAGACGCTGTCGAACTACAATCAGCTACAGATACTGCAGCTTTTATGCAGTGAAGTGATGCAATTAAAGGCTAATATTGCATCATCTCAGTATACATGCAATTTTTCTATTGGTCACCAGTATCAATTGCGCAATATGCAGCTGAAGTTGCATCATAATTTTGAATGGCTTACGTCATTAGATGGGTGAATATATCATGGAAAAACTAGAGCCAATCAACATTTTTTAGGGTCATTTTCGTTTTCAGCACCCCAAAATTATGTAAGATTAGCTAATTTTATGCCCAAAACTTTTTACCTGTTGAACAGTGTTATCAGTGTCGCCTATCAGTGCCACCAATCAGTGCCGCATATCCGTGACACCTATCCGTGACACCTCATTAATGCTGCCTATCAGTGCCGCCTATCCGTGCCACCTCATAGTGCCGCCTATCAGTGCCGCCTATCAGTGCCCTTCAGTGCGCCTATCAGTGCCCATCAGTGCCTATCAGTGCCCATAAGTGCTGCCTCATCAACGCACATCAGTGAACGAGAAAAATTACCTGTTTGAAAAATTTTATAATAGAAACAAAAAAACTTTTTTTTTTTCGAAATTGTTTTGCACTTTTTTTGCTTAAAGCACAAAAAGTAAAGTGCCCAGCAGCGAATAAATACCACCAAAAGAAAGCTCTATTTGTGAAAAAAAAGAGAAAAATTTCATATGGGTACAATCTTGCATGACCGCGCAATTGTCAATCAAAGTGCAACAGCACTGAAAGCTGAAAATTGGCCTGGTAAATAAGGGGGTATAAGTGCCCGGTAGGCAAGTGGTTAAGATCTAGTCTGGTACCATAGGAGGAAGGTGTTGCATGGATGTTGGAAGGAGTCAGCCAACTTTCTCTGGACATTTGTGAGTATAGACTTCTGTGAGAGATCTTAGAGACCTTTGGGCTGCTGCCACCCCTCTTGTGCTAGAGAGCCAGCTGTGTGTTTGTCTAAAGGGAACATCATCTGGTGTTCTGAGGAGCTTAGTCGATCTAATTCCTTGGGAAGGGACTCTGCTCTTATTGCGCTAAAGGAAGAAGCTTGTGTGCTTTAACTGCTTCTGCTACAGAAGAGCTCAGTCCATCTACTGTAGTTCTTTGTGAAGGGATTCTGCTGTTTGGTGCTCTAAAGAAAGAAATCTGCTTTTAATTGCTTCTATTAGCTGGGACCTGCTGACAAAATCCTGCTGTGTCCAACCGCAGCGCGGAACAGCAAAGTTTGCCGTGCCCCAAACATGGAGGCAGGCTTGCAACGTTTATTTACATTACTGAGCCTGCAGTTGCCTGTCGGTCACAGGAAATTTACTGTGACTGGGTGGCAAGTGAATAATCAAACATGCCAATGTTGTTTCCTACAGTTTCTCTTTACATTCTGCCTACTAATGCATGCACAGTGTATGCTATATTTTTAATGCATTCCTCTAGGGATAACTGGCACAGTTGCCAGTGTGCTTATGTTAGCTCTCAACAGAACTTTCAAAACCTTGAATGGCTCGTGTAATAGTGGATCATGTGTGCAGCATCATAATAATTATAATATTGTATTAATTATAATACAGAAATGTTGGCTTACTGAAAAGTATGTCCATGTACAGTATAACAAGCACTCAATACTTGGTTGGGGTTCCTTTTGCATGAATTACTGCATCACTGCAGTGTGGCATGGAGGTGATCAGCCTGTGGCACAGCTGGGGTGTTATGGAAGCCCAGGTTGTTTTGATAGCAGCCTTCAGGTTGTCTGCATTGTTGGGTCTGGTGTCTCTCATCTTCCTGTTGACAATGTTCCACAGATTCTCTATGGTGTTTAGCTCAGGCGAGTTTACTGGCCAATCAATCACAGTGATACCATGATTATTAAACCAGGTATTGGTACTATTGGCAGTGTGGGCAGGTCCCAAGCCCTGCTGGAAAATGAAATCGGCATCTCCATAAAGTTGATCAGCAGAGGGAAGCATGAAGTGCTATAGAATTTCCTGGTAGAGGGCTGCGCTGACTTTGGACTTGATTAAATACAATGGACCAACACCAGCAGATGACATGGCTCCCCAAATCATCACTGACTGTGGAAACTTTACACTGGACCTCATGCAACTTGGATTCTGTGCCTCTCCACTCTTCCTCCTGACTCTGGGACCTTGATTTCCAAATGAAATGCAACATTTACTTTCATTTGAAAAGTGGACTTTGGACCACTGAGCAACAGTCCTTTTTCTCCTTAGCCCAAGTAAGATGCTTCGGACGTCTCTGGTTCAGGAGTGGCTTGACACAAGGAATGTGACAGTTGTAGCCCATGTCCTGGATACGTCTGTGTGTGGTGGCTCTTGAAGCACTGACACCAGCCATAGTCTACTCCTTGTGAATCTCTCCCAATTTCTTGAATGGCCTTTGCTTTTCAGTCCTCTCATGGCTGTGGTTATCCCTGTTGCTTGTGCAATTTCTTCTACCACACTTTTTCTTCCATTCAACTTTCCATTAATATTCTTGGATACAGCACTCTGTGAACAGCCAGTTTCTTTAGTAATGACCTTTTGTGACTTACCCTCCTTGTGCAGGGTGTCAATGACTGTCTTCTGGACAACTGTCAAGTCAGCAGTCTTCCCCATGATTGTGTAACCTACTGAACCCAGACTGAAAGACCATTCAAAGGCTCAGGAAACATTTACAGGTGTTTTGAGTTAATTAGCTGATTAGAGTGTGACACCAGGAGTCTACAAAATAGAACTTTTTCACAATAGTCTAACTTTCTGAGATACTGAATTTGGGGTTTTTTACTAGCTGTAGGCCATAATCATCAACATTAAAAGAAAGAAATGCATGAAATATATCACTCTGTGTGAAATGAATATATATGAGTTTCACATTTTGAATTACTGAAGTAAAATAACTTTTTGATAATATTCTAATTTATTGAGATGCATCTGTATATATGTCACTCTCTCTATACTTCCTGTCCCAGTAACAGGATGTCACTAAGACAGAAACTGAGGGAAATCTATCTGATAAAGTGGAACTGCAACAAAAGCATTTTCTTAAGAGAGTGGGGATCTCTGCTAGATTTCTATGAGCTCTAGGTGTAATGTACTGTATGTAAACCCGATATGCGATCATCCTGGATGGTCCTGGGTGTTGGGAGTACCAGCGACCATCAAAAAACTTTTACATAAAGAACCATGAAAATAGCGTATCACGCTCCTAGTTTAGCTAGGGGGAGCTAGATCCTAATGGTTAGACAGGAGCTGGTTAGTAGCCCAGGTGTAATAGCCATAGGGGTCAAATCGTGACCAGGGCTGAGAGGCTCAGCAAGTCAGCTCCTCTGGAATTTCCCCCTGCTCTGAGATTTTTGGAGGAAGGCCTTGGAGCCAGTGTGTGGATCTGAGGAGTGGCTAGCTGTGCTCTTGAGGGACCTCCGCCAATCCCCAACAGAAGGCTTGGCAAGGTGCTGGGCCTCCCTTAAAAGTATTGGAGCTTGCTCAGTAGCAGGAGTCGGGTGGAAGAAGGAGAGGAGTATGGATTCGAAGATGTGAGGCAGAGGAAGGAGGATGCCAGGAGGCCTAGTGGGATGCTGCCTGCCCGCGAGCCTAGAGCTGGAAAGGAGGAAAACTTGGAACTCACTGGCCCCCTGAGTAAGGACCACCTGTATGGCAGGGAAGGAGCAGCCCAGATGACAGGCCTGGTAGCAGCAGCCCACCCATACAGGGGAGGATCTGAGTGAGTGCACCTGCACCCCCTGGGTGGATAGGGGAAGGAGCACTTTGGTGGGAAACCAGATTAGCCCCTACTAGTAGCTGTTCATCCATTTATAAGGACAGGAACCAGATCCCCTGTTCAGGAAAATCTCCAGATTGCTGGGTAAAGAGGAGAATTTCATCTAGGGTTTGGGGTGGTACATCAATGAGACGCTGGATAACTCTCCAATAGAGACTGTACTGCAAAGAAGCTTGTGAAC